AGTTCAACAGATATGCCTGCTGCTGGTAGGTGCCAGGACAGGACAAGGACTGAAAGTTCCTGGCACACGATGACTAGGCTAGGCTTAGCTCTCAAACCTGCTAGCACAAGCTGATCACTCTGATCAGACACTGGCTATAACGCACTTGGGTGGGAAGGATTCAAAGGGGGCAAAAAAAATCTCAAAGCAGGTATATTGTTGTTTAAGGTAAATGGACAGTAAATGCATTTAGCATTAATATAGCCCAAGAGCCATCGAAGCACTTAGCAAAGAAGATGATAATTATAGACAGCCACTTCCTTAACTGAAGGTTTGCTGAGTGCTCCTCTAACCCGGTGTATTTAAATGATCCCTTTTCAGGTGCAGACCAAGCCTCAGTGACAGCCCGCAGCCACATTCAGCTGGTGAAAGCACAGGTGCAAGAAGTGCGGCAGCTGTCCCAGAAAGCAGAGACCAAGTTAGCTGAAGCTCAAACAGAAGAGCTCATAAAAACTCAAGGAGAGGATTCTTCATTGCCACAGGGTGTTTTAGGAAGTACAGACGCGGGTGAGGACCCTTACCTTCGGGAGGACTGAAAAGAACTTAAATGTCACCATAGAATATGGGAGAGTCAATCACAGATTGAAGAGTCACAAACTTTTTAAGTGTGGGATAGGAGGAACTGCTGAAATAAGCCTATGATTCCATTTTTTTTCCCCAAACAGGATTGCTTACGAATCAAGTCAGTTCCAAGTATCTGAAAGGCCTTGATCTTGTTTGTAACTTATCATGTTTGTAATACTTGTGGATTCAATTATTTAAATGTTTATCTATGCAAATGTGAAAATTGATATTGAGGATAGCTTGTTGTTAATTGTGTCTCTGCTGGGAGGGTCCTGCCACTCGTTTGGTACGTTTGTGAGAGCTCTCTGACTTACAAGGCTAACTAGGTATCAGCCAAAGAAGTGTATTTAAAGGTCACTCTTTTTAACATGCAAAGTGAATGATATCTGTTAGGAGATTTCTTTATTAAACTGTGCAAAAGCATCTCATTGCGAGTGTGCCCATTTGGATAAGAGATTAAGTGGTGTTTTCTATTTGAACTTAAAAGTTTGTCAAAGGGTTGAGTTTGACAGCTACATCAAATTACACTTAATTGCCATCAGGGGAAACCTTTGCTGTGGAGCTGAAAATGTTCTTTGGAGTTACCCAGGCTCTTCTTAGTGAAGCTTTGCAGTTCAGTACAGCAACCTCCTTCACCCAAGAGCCCCTGCTTCTAATCCATCTGCCTTCCCCAGGAAGTAAAAAGATATTTGATTTTCAAGATACTGTGGTTATAAACAAAGTTGTCGTGGCAACTGCCGCATACTGATTGACAAAGCAGTGAGCAAAAGTGAGTTTTACATATTTGAATGCTTTCCAGCACACGTTTCAGGAAAATAATCTTAATTCTCTCTTTTTGCAAGCTTAGTGTTTCACTGCAGGCTTCAAAACCACAGGTGTCTTTCACTGTGTTCATTTCCTAACTCAACAGCTTCATGTGAAATTTGCAACATTAACTGTATAGACAATCTAAACTTAAGCTGAGATTGCTTTATAGAATAGCATCTACTAGAATTTTATCACTGCTGATTTGAGTCAGTTAATCCCCATCAGGTTTTGTAAGAAAACACACATTAATCAGAGGTTTTTCACCACAAATTAGCATCTGATGCACTACATCTGTGTCGAGGTTGCTGTTACTAAATTGAGTTGTGCTTCGCTAGGAATTTTTTTCGGCTGTAGCATAAGCCTTTCTATCTGTGTCTCATTTTGCCTGCCTTTTGAGCAAACACAATCTCAGCTGCTCAGCACTGTGCATTTATAGATTAAATAGTAAAGGAACTAACAAACCACCTTTCCTCACGCCTGCTTCTCACTGGTATCCAAGGAGGATGGCACAGTCTGGAATTCAAGCTCAGAGGAAGATGCCAGTGTCTGCTGCGCCAGCAGTCAGGAGGTCCCAAACACAGCTTTGGGCTGGAGCAGTAGGAAAATAAAAAACCACCGTCATGAGAGGATTATTTGCAGCAGCGGCACAACCACGCCCTCATGAGCCAAATGCAACTTCAGGTCAGCCTTTAACCACAACTGCTCTAATTTGTTACTGCTGCAGTTCAGGAACATCTGCCAAGCCACTGACCCAAATGCACGTACAGGTTGTGTTCCTTTCAGGACGCCACAATAACTCCACTCAGATGCTTGCATGGCAGAGATGCGGCTTAAGACAGATGAGCACTGCTACAGGGGTTTGCAAAGCAACTCATTCTTCCCCTTTCAGAGCCTGCTTCTCGCCACACTTCTTGTTTCACTGTACACCCTGCTCTGCCCCAGACACCAGCTGTACCTACACACATCGAACCTTCGGATGTGACAGGAATCAACTCATCAGTTCAGACAAGTCAAAAGGGGAGTGAGGAGCGTGAGTGGCTCCGTATCACCTCCAAAACGGGGTGGAAGGGAGTCCCACACCTTTGTTAGGAAGTGAGAGTTCCCTGCTGGGGGTAGCCCACACACCTAAGCCCACAACAGATGTGACATCCCTGCCCTACATCATGTTCCTGAGTTTGCATTTGGAATCATCTAGTGGATCTGAAAAATGCTGCCGCAGCAGTTCACAGGGTAGCATGGTACCCGCTCTGTCCGGTCTCTTCTCTGGAACAAGCAGCAGTGCCCAGAAAATGGGTTTTGCTGCTGAAACTCAGCCTTGTTTACAAAGCCAACATACCCGAAACGACGTGTACGCAATTTCCCAGGTACAGCTAACACACCTAATTAATCCCTATTAGGGCAGCAGCGAGAAGACACACCAACAGCGTGTACAAGACCACACTGAGATGCACAGGCTCACCCCTTGGAAGAGCAATTTTTTTCAGACAAACACCTACTTGCCTCTGGCACAGAAACAGCCCACGTGTGAGTGGCAACTCCTGCCTTAAGAGCCTGGGTCACGCTGTCGGGCTGAGCTGGAAGCACACCTGGTGCTTTAGAAAGCCAAGGCCACAAGGGACACGATCAAACAAGGACCAGCAGTGCTGCCAGGAGTCCCTCGTATCAAAAGTACAAAAGTATCACCAAATCTTTGTTTCATATTTGATCTTTCCTCAAATTAGCAACCCCAGAGCACTCACAGATTAAGCACTTGGGTATTGATACAGCTTGCCTGGACAGGGGCAGAGAACAGCAAAAGTGGCACATGTCTATTTCCACAAAATCTTCTTTCTTTAGTATCAATGGCTCCTTAATGCAAATACCCAGCACCTGATCACAGCCTTCTCTGGCTTTCAGTGCTTCTGGCTTTCAGGAGAACGAAGAATACTCCTGCAAAACACTTCTCAAAACCGTATTTTATTTATACCCAACGTTACAACAACAAAAAATACCCCAAACACCTCCCACACAACATGAAAAGCTACAGCTGCTCTAACTACCACTGTGATTATTCAAGACATACTGCTCAATCAGAAAGTGTTTGTGCAAAAGCTTCCAGTGCAAGTAAACCTGTAATAAACTTCTGTAAAATCCAAAGGGCTTGAGTCGGAGCCCAGCCCCTTGGATCATCGTGCTGTGTTAAGGCAACATATTTTTCAGGCTTTTTTTTCCCACTCCACTCCCTTTCTCCTGCTGTCCAGTAGGACCTGTGGGATCGCTGGCCTGGGACAGCGGAGCTGCGCTGCAGCGGACCCAGCAGCACACACAGCCCTTTCTTACACCCCTTCAAGTAATTTCAGGTGCTCTGTCACTCATTACTCATCACCAGCTTTCCCAACCAAGACTGAATTTGGCCGGCAGTCAGACACCAGCCTTGGTGTTGTGGAGCCTCCATAGTAGGTGGCACCTCACTCACGTCCCTGTGGCACTTGTGACTTCCTCTGGCTGGGAGGAACAGAGCTGAGTCCCCTGTGCCATGTCTCACTGGCCCCATCCCCACCCCTTGACAATTCAACTGCTTCAGTGACCCACCGACAGAAAAAAAACTTACTGCAAAACAAACCCCTATGGCTCAAGTACAGCCTGTTAGCAGAGGACACGTTTCTACCACAGCCTGGTTCTCAGTTTAAGTGCCCTGTGTCTGTCACCAGTCACAATCCCGCTGTGCTCCTCAGTAGCTGCTTTTCCAGCCCCTCCTGTAGCTGTGCGTTACTGACACCGCACACCGAATGCTGTCATCCTTTACCAGCGTCCACATGATCCACATCTCGGTTGGGTTGAGCTTGTGCACAATCATCAGCTCTTTATACAAGCACGGATCAAAAGGATTGAAAGGTCTCTGGATCCCGAAAGTCTTAAAGCCAGCGTGGTTCTTTGGGGTCACTGCCATCTTTGCCAGACACATTCCCACAAAGACATCATCTATTGGGAAGAGCTCCATGTCCTCCGCGGTGCGCTGGAGGCGGCGCACTGTCTCTCTAGACATCACGTAGCCCCCTCCTCCCGCATAGAGAGGATAGAAGGGGCCTCTGTACATGGACTCTGGAATAAAATATTTGACCTTGGTGTTCCTAATGGGTCGGGCGTTGGCGATCACATCCCCAACAAAGAGATCCTGCTCAGGGTCCAGTTCTTGGAGGAACTCAACAATGTTGTTAGTGTTGACAAAGACATCATCATCACCCTTCAGCACGAACCTGGCGTAGAGGCAGTCCTCCATGAACCAGCGCAAGAAATGCAGCTCCTTGAGGGTCAAGTTGAAGAAGTTGTCAACAAAATCCCACTGCAAGATGTCATCAAACTCCTGGCTCTCGTAAGCCAGCAGCTGGTGCAGGGGCTGTACCTGGATTTTGGCCTCCGAGCGCCCCAGAAGGAATACCAGCCTGATGGGCTTGCCACCGATGGAGATCTCCTTCCCCCACGTGTTCCTGATTGCCACTCGCCGGTCTATGTTGATGGGGGAAGACTTGATCGCCAGCAAGAGGAATGTCTCTTTGCTACACC